TGAGGAGGTGTAGTAGGAGGTGAGTTGATAGTTGAGCTTGAGCCATCTCTCCTGGGCCTCCATGGCCCGGGTGTACAAGTGACCTAACAAGTCTCATGTGTTCTGATGAGACATAGTCTTGAGAGCGCAGAGATATATCAAAGGGCTCTGGTCAAAACAAAGAGGTAGCTGAATAGGAATTTTGAGAAGGCCAGAAACACAAATTTCAGAGAGATAGTACTTCATTTCAAAAATCCATACCAGAAAAACTATACTTCAGGCATCATCAGTCCAGGGAACACAAAATCCAGCCACTCCACTATCTATCAATGATGATTTAGATAATACCACCTCTGCTGCTATGGGTCATCGAAATTCTTACAGACCTCAATACACACAGGTGTTGTCTTAAAGGAGAACAAGGAGATGGAGGAAAAGTTTTAAAGACAACATTTTAATCAAAGAAACCCAAGAGAATTCACATAAAAGAGTTGTCTGAATTATTTAACTGAATTAGGTTTAACTGAATGGGATAAGTTTAGGGTTCAGCTCCCTATGGATGAGCAGATGAGTTATGGAGAAATAAAGAAGCTGTTTTCTATGCATATCTAAGTGCAGAGTGAATGAATTTGTGACACCACTACAAATATGTAGGACTTCCTGCCCAGCCAGTTATGGACAGCAGTTCTATTCACAAGCTTTAGCAGAGGTGGCATATGTGGTGGGGTGGGGCTAACGTACTCTATTGAGCCGAAGAGCCAGCATCATGACAGAACTGACCTCTTACCTCATAGATAGATGCCCTTTCTTCAAAGGCATTAGCAACCTCACATGGGAAGCTCATTTGGGACTTATCTGGGAGGCAGTTTTTCTCTTGTCACCTACTTGGACATAGAGAAGGTTGTACATATCCTGGTATGCTGCTCCAAGAACTTTGAGACCAATGGGAAAAGGCCAGTCTGGCAGATTATGGTGTCCTTTTGCCTGTGTATTGTCCTAGTCATATTCTTGTGCTGAATGAATCACATCTGGGATCAAGGAAGCAATATCAACTTGGACAAAATCCTAATGTACTTATCTGGATCTAACATCCCATCAGTCCCTTGTCCATACAGTCCTCTGTGGGCTACACCACCACCTGCAGGCCAACCCTGAAAAGTACAAGTCCAAGAAAACAGAAGAAATCCTGAACCGTATTCTGTACAACCAAGATATCTACATTATGCTTCAAATGTTCATGGTTCTAGAGTAAGAACCTGAATGGTTCATCACATATATTTAATAATTCCTAAAATTTATTATAAGATTCATTACACATTTCTTCTCTTTGGCCGTTTTAATAGCTAACATTCTCAAAACTGAAATAGGCTTTTTTGGTTCTCAGAGGCAGATGCAGTCTTCCAATGAGCGTTGCTTAATTCCTCCAACCTTCCGCTAACCTACCTGACCCAGCCCACCCAAATGAATGTCGCCAACCATTGAGAAGTTATCTGGCTGGGAATTCTGAGGACATGTAGTCCTAGCTATCATTTATAATCAGGCACAGGTAGAGGCCCACACAATTGGATTTTTATGATATGTAGGTATAAGAGAAATGAAATAGTTAAGAATGAGCTTTAAGTTTATATTCTGAGCTACTGAATTGTCTTTGTCCATTCAGGCTGCTATAACAAAGTACTGGGTATCTTACAAACAACAGGAATTTATTGTTCACAAATCTGGTGGGTGGAAGTCTGAAATCATGCAGCCAGGTGGTCACCTAGTGAGAGTCCTCTTACTGGTTCATAGTCAGCATCTTCACATGGTAGAAGGAGTTAGGGAGCTCTCTGGAGTTCTTTTATAAAGGCACGAATCCCATTCATGAGTGCTCCATCCTCAAGACTTAAGACCCTCCTAAAGGCCTCACATACTAATACCATCAATTTTGAGATTTAGGATTTAACATTTGGGAGGACACACATTCAAACCATAGCATGGGTGAATGGTAAAGCCAGTAGCTGCAGTGGGGAAACTAGGGGAGAAACAGATTTGGGAGATAAGATCAAATTCTATTTTTAAAATGTTCAGCTTGAAATGCTTATTAGACATCTAATGGAAATGTCAAATAGGCAGCAGGCTGTGTTTCTTAAGTCTGGAGCTCAGGGGCAATGTCAGGTCTGGAGGATATGTAAATCAGGGAGTTACTGACAAATAGAATTTAAAGCCATGGGCCTGGATAAGATCTCCTCCAAAGTGAGGAGGTATAGTTAACAGGAGAGGTTTTAACAAATTTAAAAACTGGGAATAAGAGGAAGGAGCTAGCAGACTAAGACGAAGCCAATTAAGAATGTAGGAGGAAGACTGAGATGATACGTTGACCCAGAAGCCAACTGGTTGATGGAGTCAAATGCTACTGAGAGGTCAAGTGAGAGAAGGTGTAGGCATTGTTCAGAGGATTTGGAGAGATGGGGCTCATAGCTGATACTGAGAAGAATGACTTTAGTAGAGTTGTAGAGAAGAAAATGTGATTGAAGAAGATTGAAAAAGAGACTATGAAGTGAGAAGTATTGACAACTCATTTTGGAAATGGTGATGCAAGTGGACCTGAGAAGCAGGAGGGGGTACTTGGAAGAAAGCATAGATTCTTGGGAGGACAGATTTATTTTAAGATGGGAGATATTATAGCATGTTTATATACTGATGGTACTTTTCACAGTAGAAAGAGGAAATGTGGAAATGTTGGACAGAATGGATGATGGAAAGAGCAAAGCTCTTGAATAGGTGAGAGGAGATCCAGGGCTTAAGTGGTGATGTCTGAGAGAACTTACACTCCAGGACAGTTCTTCCATCACAAAGGAAGGAAAGGCAAGAATTGTAAAAGTGATGATGGGAAATTGTCATAGTTATCTTCTGATTGCTTCTACCTTCTTAGAAAAAGCAGAGATGAAGTCTCTTTTTACCAGCTTCTGCTAGCCCAGCTAAGTGAGACTCTGCTGGCAACCCAGAATCCCATCAATTTATCCTGACAACTGAGTTAGAAGAACCCAAGAATCTTATGGAAGATTCTGGATTCCCAGCAGTGCCACAGCCAGCTCTGTCCAATAGAAAGGATGCCAGTTAAAGAAGCAAACACATGATATTCCCCCACCTGAATTCAGAACCCACCTGAGCAAGTTAAGGCTTTTCAGCCACCCAAACTGGACAGCACAGTTTACTGGAGTGTGAAGTGGAAAAAGAGCAAGTTCTGGTTAAAATGTCCACCACCATCGGCTGAGGCTGCTGGCACCCTATAAAAAAGTCAAAAGAACTACCTTAAAATTCTTTAGATTCTATCTATACTGTGTTTCTAACCTACTTGTTCTCAGCAATTTTCCAACTTTGTCCTCATATTTCGATATTTTGGCATTAAGTGGTTTTTTATTTCAACTTCTCCGTAAGTTGCTTCCTCTTGAATCTCTTGAACCTATTCAGCTCCAATAAACCTCAGACATGTCCCAGGCTCCCAGCTGTGATATTGCCCTCCTAGCCTGCCTGGATTCTACTTTTTCAGTGGGGGAGGTCCTCACACACATAGGAGAACATGTAAAATAGATTTTTAAAGGATAAACTACTGTTATTGATTAATTAAAGCAGCAGCAGCAATAGCAGAGCTTTCTGAGCAAGATTTTGCCATCCAATCCTCTATCCATCTCTAGTTGCCCCCCTCAAAAAAGAAAGCCTTCTAAAGGAATAACACATCCTTTGGGAAAATGAGAGAAAGTGTAAATGAATTAGGGTTTAGAGAAGATGAGAATAAAGAAGGTTGTTTTCCCATGGAAGACCCCCACCCCTACCCCACCCCACCACACACACACACACACACACACACACACACACACACACACACACACACACACACGAATTAAGGTATTTAAGTAAATGAACATCTAACTAAATAGGAGTCAGAGTGAATATTTACATTCCTATAATGTGACTAAACAAATGAGGTGGCTTTAAAAAACAAAACAAAACAAATAACCCTTATATTGAAAGCCAGATACTCAGTTGGTTATGTGCCATGACTCAGAATGATTTTGAAACTTCTTGTTTGGAAGTACCTTAGTGCTCTTTTTACAAATAGGGTGATCAACCATCTCAGTTTGTTCAGGACTGAAGGGTTTCCCAGGATGTGGGAATTCCAGTTTGAAAACTAAGACAGCCTTGGGTAATTTTCCTGGTTTACCTGGAACTGAGGGAGATTTTCAGTTCTCAAGGTTTGAGTGTTCCAAGCAAACTGGGTCGAGTTTGGTCACCCTATTTATAAACTACATGAGAACCACCAGCTCATTGTTTTGTAGTCATAACTGTGTTACTCAATTTGATCCCCTTCTTATTTTTAAAACTTGGCCCCACATGTCTCTTGGCTGTTTCAAAAGATCAAATTTATCTTCGTCAAACAAATATGTGGAAGCACTCAGAATAGTCTGACTTCGGAAGGCAATTTTAAAAACCTCTCCTTCTTTCCTTCCTATCTTCGTTCCTCCCTGCCTCTTACCTTCTCCTATCTAGATCACTATGTAAAAGTATATAGTACTAGTGGTGGATATGACAGACTCTTTCCTTGACTAAACTTTACTTAGGCTCCTCTGAACCCTCTTGTTTAGGTCTCTATCTTGGCCTCTATCCATCTTTGGCTTAACCAGCCCAATTTTAGCAAGAATCCTGTGAAGTCAGTTTAGCAAGAATCCCACTACCCTTGGTATCTGATCACCCTCAATATCTGATCTCATTCCTCATCTCCCACTCTCGATATCTGATCACCGCAGCCTTCCTACAAGAATCCTATTAAGTTGGTTTAATAAGAATCCCCCTACTCTTAATTACTGTTCTGAATAATTTTCCATTCATTGACCCCCTTACTCTGCTCATTGGCTATGAATCCCTAGCTGTCTTTGCTGTCTTTGTTTTAATCTCTCCCCTGCTGCAATGAGTGATTTCAGTAGTCCCGAATAAAGTCTTCTGTACCACATTAATAAGTGTCTGAATAATTTTTTCTTTAACAGCTATGATGCCATGAATGAGAAAGTCATCATCGGACACCTGGACCTTTCATCCAGGACCCCAAGTGTACACTTTTGAAGCCTTTGTCTCACTCCTGACTGATTAGGGATCCATAGGTGAGTCCAGCTCCTGAGCCAGTGCTCTGGATGGCAGTCTGTTGAAGCTTGGTAAGGACAGATATTGATTCTTAAGATTCTGAGAATACTCTCTAAGGCTGGGTCAGAGTCCCAGGATTCTTTGGTTGAAAACCTGTTTGAGCAAGCATCTTCCTGAATGGAAGTCTAGGACCTTTTTGAGTGGGGATTTACTCCCTGACACTCGAGTAGAAAATTCCTGGCCTTTTTAGAGGCCTCTACTCTAGAAGCTGGGTTACAGTCCCAGGCAAATGGAGGTTAGGTCGGCGTCCAAGGCTTCTTTGTTTACAAGGTACCATGTGGTAAGAACCTGCAATTTCTCAGTGGTCTGAAACTTCATCTCATACTCCTGTTGACCATGTGCTCCACTACCACGACACTAACTCTGTCCACATTCTCCTTGTTGGAATGATTTTACAAAGGATAGTTTGGAACTTTGATGACTTCCCCAAACTGGTTCCCCTAAGACTTCTCCTTTACCATTGTTCTGTTTCTCTTTCCTCCTTTTATCACTTTCAGTCTTCCCTTCAGCTCCCTTGGATCCTTTGATATGAATACCTTCAAGGCCCTACTTCCTACATCTCTGTCTATTCCTGCAAGACTTTTCTCACTCTAACCCCTCAATTCCGTATAGTTACTTGAACTTTAGGTGCCCTGTGCCCCATTAAGGGTCCCCCAAAAGAAACTATATGTCAGGGAAAAAGAAAATCTTTAAAGTCTCCACCACAAATATTGATATAAAGCATTAGCTCTCATCTTGATCAGGTAACCTTAATTTATTCCATTCGTAAGAAACACAATTTAGGTAAAAATGTAAAATGGAGTCAAGATGAGAGCCAACTATTTTACATAAACCAGCAAGCTTTATATTGCTGTGTTTATCTGACTCATGTCTAAAATTTTAGAATGAAAGCTATGAGGTCTCTATTTGCATTTGAATGTTTATGTATATATGTTTGTATATGTATGTTATGTATATGTGGTATTTTTCTACCTCTAGATGGTATTACCAAAATAATTTATAAAATGTCATAAAGGAGCTCTATTCTATGGAAGACAGATAAATAAGTTCTTATATAAATTAAATATTCCTAAAACTCCCCAAAATATAGAAACTGATCCAAATGCTTTTCAAGTTATGTGATTTGGGAAAATCATGGTAAAAAAAAAGTCTAGTTTAATATTGTTGGTCTAATAAAAATAGCTATGTCTTTTGAATTATCAGCATTAAGTTTAATATCAGCATACATTTTGTATTTAACTTTTTTAAGGTTTCTTTGCTTTTGTAATTTTTTTGTTGCTTGCCTAACATGCATGTGCCGATAAAATAGTTAACAAGAAAACAAGTTGAGATGATGGCTACTTTCTTTTAATTTTGAAATATATCTGCCTAAAAATAGTTTCTAAAATCTTTTTGGTAACTTGCAACCTTAGAGTTATTCTGAGTTAATTAGTAGATAGTCATTAAATATGTAGATCATTTCTAAATAAGCAGAACTATTAAACCTTAAATTACTAAGCACAAATTGGCTTCTTATTTTTACATGATACAGAGAGCCTAAATATAATTGAGTAAGTTAATAAGCATACTCTTTCTGACACATTGAAAAACTACTATCAGGAAGCATATACCTATAAAATTATGAGATGGTATATTCACAAAATTTGCTAATCAGTCACAGAATGCTGGTTTATAACAGACAATTCACAATTGTTTTCTATTATAAAGTTTACTAATGGTTAAAAATTATAATCAATATATGTAAACAAAACTACTAGAAACAATAAGGGTGAAAGGAAACAACTTTGTATGAAAAGCATGCAAGGAAAGTAGAATGTATTTTGATAAGGAAAAGTATACGAATTATGTAGAATGGGTTTTTGTAAAGAGAACAGGAGAGTAATTTTGTCCTAAAATAAAAGAGGAAAATATAGGACCAAAAAAAGAATGGATATAAAAAGTTGTAGAAGGTTTGTAGGAAAGTAATCTTGGAAAAGGAATCTTGTCTCATATGGTCAAGAGTAGCTAAGATTGGATAGATATATTTATAGGGTTGGGTTTTTTTTTTACAAAATGAATTATAATATCAAAAGTACACTGATGCAAAACTAGAATTTGGTTTTCTCTGTTGAAATAATAAAGTTTTCTTAGATTTTTGGTCTGCCCTTTTAAAAAACATTTATTTGTTTTAAAATTATATTTGACATACAGTATTATATTAGTTTCAGGTGTACAACATAGGGAGTAGACATTCATATACCTTATGAAGTGATCACTATGATAAGTCTAGTAACCTGCTGCTGCTGTACAAAGTTATTATGACATTATCGACTGTATTTTCTATGCTGTACATTACATCCCTATGATTTATTCTATAGCTGGAAGTTTGTACTTCTTAATCCTCTTGACATTTTTTGCCCATCTCCCACCTACTCCCCTCTGGCAACCATCAGTTTGTTCTCTGTATCTGTGAGTTTATCTCTGTTTTGTTTTGTTTGTTTGTTTTATGTTTTAGATTCCACATATAAGTGAAATCATACAGTCTTTGTCTTTCTCTCTCTCACTTATTCACTCAGGATAATACCCTCTAGGCATATCCATGTTTTCACAAATGTCAAGATTTCGTTCTTTTTTTATGGCTGAGTAATAGTCCATTGAGTATATATACCATATTCTTTGTCCATTCACCTATTGTTGGACACTTAGGTTGCTTCTGTATCTTGGCTATTGTAAATAATACTGCAATGAACATAGAGATGCATATATTTTTTAAATTAAGTTTATTGGCGTAACATTAGTTAATACAATTATATAATTTTTAGGTGTACATTATCATTTGACATCTGTATATTCTATTGTGTGTTTACCACCCAAAGTCCAGTTTCCTTCAGCTACCATATATTTGATCCCCTTTACCCTCTTCACCTTCCTCCTCTAAACCCTATATTTGACCCCCTTTACCCTGTCTACCTCCCCCACCCCACTAGTAACCACTAGTCCATAGTGTTCTAGTAACCACTAACCTATAGTCCATGTCCATGAGTCTCTGTTTGTCCTGCTCATTTGTTGCTTTTAGGTTTATATCCCATATATAAGTGATATCAAATGATTTCCAACTTGTTCTGTCTGGCTTATTTTGCTTAGCATGATTATCTCGAGGTCCATCCATGTTGTTGCAAATGGCATTATTTCATCTCTTCTTATGGCTGAGTAATATTCCATTGTATATATGTACCCAGCTTCTTTAGCTAATCATCCATCGTAGGACACTTCGGTTCCTTTTTCTCCACATCTTCTCCAACATTTGTTATTACTTGTCCTGTTGATTATAGCTATTCTAACAGGTGTGAGATGGTATCTCATTGTGGT